AAATGCCCCCCTGGTCACGGCCGACAAATGGTCTTCCAGTGTCAGCCGCGGATCCAGGAGGACACCCAAGTTGCGAGCCCTCTCTGAGGGGGCCAAAGTTTCGCCCCCTATAGACAGCGATGGAATCAGCTGGCTATGCCGGGGCGCCGGCAACCACAGCCACTCGGTCTTGGAAGGGTTGAGTCTGAGTCTGAGTCTGAGTCTGAGTCTGAGTCTGAGTCTGAGTCTGTCAATGTCTCTGAAGAAAGGAGAGATCCCATCAGCTTTGAAAGAGTCTCTGATCTGTCCATTCCTCGACAGACCCAACATTGATATAAAATTGGTTTCTATCTCATTAAAGCAAGATAAAGCAGCTATTTGGAAGCCTGATTCCAGATTATTGCCAATTGTATTTCTCTTTCCAAAGAGAGCAGCTCCTCTACTTCAGGCTCCTTCTAGACTCAGTGGTCCTGTTCAGATGAAAATTAGGTCAGGAGGACCTTTACCCAGCTTCAGCTGGTGTGCCAATTATGGCCTTACCTGGAAGATGATGTCCTGAGGATAGTTTTTCATGCTCTTGTCATATTGTAACTGGACTATTATAATTTACTCTACATGATGTTTTTCTTTAAGACCACCCACAAATTGTAATATTTAATTATAATAAAATGCAATAACATTCCACTATAATGACCTTCAAGACCCTTGTAGCATTTAAATTTTTTGGGAAGACCTTTGGGGAATGATTATTGTGAAGCCATGGGTGTGGAAATTGGTTGTGTCATGTCATGTATTTGTGATATTATATGATATGTGTTATATGTTGTGTGCTGAATGTTATTTATTATTTGCTGTATGTTATAAGTTATATGGTAATATTACTGTGCATATCTAGAATTCTGAATTAAGATAGTAAATGCATTGAGTAAATAAATGAATATGTTAAATACTACCTTTTCAAGGTATTGATTCTTGAGCAAGCTTTTCAACTTATATGAAATCCAGAACCATATACAATACTAATTAGCTGATGATATTTTAGTTGTCTTTCACAAATAATATGCCATTAAAATATCCCATGAAGAATACCAGATTTAAAATACTGAACCTTTAGATTTCTTTCGTCTGTTTCAGTATGATATCTTTTATACTCCACCAGTTACCAACAAATTGATTCCACTTCCTGCTGCAACAAAGATATCTGTCACTGATGGACATCCAGTGGCAACAATGGGTAACATCTTTTACTTCAAGAATACCTAATTCCTATATTACTTTCTTCTCATACTCATGTGCATCCATTTTTTTAAATTAATCATATGTTTTATTCATGCATTTATTTATCATTAACATTTTATTAGTTATTTAAATACTGTGTATTCCTTATATAATGATTAAAAGAGGTATTTGATTCCCTAAAGTTTACAAAATGTGAATATAAACTGTTGCATTCTATTGAATTGTACCAAAACTGGGTAAAATTGTGAACCTCTAAACTAAAAATATCAAATGTGATATGATGTGACAGGTTGAAAGTAATAGAGACCATGATTCATGTCTGACAGAATTAGGCTTATTGTTAACCTCCTGAATGAGTAGACTTAGTAAAGTAAGAAGAAAACCACACGAAGGCATAATGTGCACTTGGAACTCTTAATCTGTTGTAAAATTTGCCTCTAATTGGGCCATCGTTGCATTGAAACCAGTTACCCAACTACAACTGAGAAGGGAATAATTGAAATCAGATTACTAGAAAAAAGTTGAATGTGTTACTAGACAAAACTTTACAATAAATCTGTGAATAATTGCATTAGATGTTTCTAATTAGCATCTACATTCCAATAGTTACTATAATCTCTTCATCAATTTTTATATTTTCAAAGACTCTACCAACCAAACCTGGTAAATCATAATTTAATAGCTCCAAAATGACCTGCTAGATTATTTTTATTTTCTTAAATAACTATCATTTACTGTTAATCTCAGTGCAGAAAAATGCTTCAGAATACAATAGCCTTGCTTAACTAGGGTAAAATGTTGCAAATAAGTAACTCAATTGATTATTCAAAAAAAATTGACTAAGAAATTCTAAAAGTTTGAGATTATGTTTTCAAGAAAGTACTAATATTTGAGAATGACTATGTTAATTCATATAAACAAAAACATTTTGAGATAGAAAGTTTTGCAGTTCACCTGATAAACATTACCCTAAAACATCAGTATTATCAGTCAGACATACATTTGTAGTCAGGATCCTCTACCCTTTACTGAATCCAACTTCACTGTAAGAGATGCGTTTTGAAAAACATGTACATCATATCACTAACATTTCAAGACAAATTTGAGGCTTGTAAACATTACAAACCTTTCATTTCATCATGAAATGCTTCAATTATTTGTGTTCCTCCCCCCCCCCCCCCAGCTTTTACCATAGCAGACAATTTTGTTCTAAGCTATCCATAACATCAGAATCTCACTTACTAAATCTGGTAATTATGTCTTTAGATATCTCATAAAACTTTGGGTGATTTTATTGTACAAAGTACATTAATAACAGCTAGCAATGTGACAGTTTCTGGAATTCAAAATCTACCGATTTGAAGCAAGGTTTCCTCGATACACGCCTAGCTAGTCCTAACTATAATATGCGGAATTATAAAATAATTAAACAATTTCCATTTTTAGAGACGGTAGATTATTTATCACTTTATATGAAAATGGAGTTAATGTTTTATAGGATTGCCTTACATGTCACAATTAAGTGGTAAAGTTGTGGTAATCAGCCTTACTACAGAAAAATAATAATATGCAAAATAGAGGAATTTCCATGATCAGTTTATAATTGATTATTTAGCTCATTTTTCACCAATCTATTCTTTTAAATTTACAACATTATATATGAAATATTCTCTTGAACTTGAATTATATGCTATTTCAAAGACCCGAATATGAGAATCAGGCTTCATTAAAATTTTATAAAATTCTGGAAAACCATTAATGAAATACAATATCAGGAGTCTTAACCTTTTGCTTATTCCAGCCTTATTCAGATTTTTGCAAATTCGTTCTTATGCAACATATTGCAAAATAAATATTTTATGCAATACATCTTAATAAATAACAACCATGATCACATTCAATAACTGAAAGCATATGACCTAGTTTTGAGAGATTGGATGTAAATATACCATTCAGTCCTAATATACTTTGTTTTTTTCAAGCTTACGCTAAAGAAAGTTTCCCTTCTAAATTATCCATATCAAAACTCAAATTTATTGAACATGGTAATAATATGTTTTTCAATTTTTCCTGAAATTTTATGTCATGTGATTAATTGTGAGTGCATTGATGTGGCCATTAATGTATTTATATGCATATACCTTTGAATCAAGTTTTCTTTAACTCATGTCCAGCAATAAAACACAAGCAAGACAATATTTAAACAAGCAAAACTTGATTAAAAAAGAAAGGGATTTATTTTTTCCATGGTGAATGAAAACAAAGTTAATATAATTAATTACAATGTCAGAGTAAGTTGTGAACTTCAAATTTTGAGAGCCAATGCAGGAAAATTTGTTTATAAATTCACACAATATAAACATGTTAGACATCAAAAGATCATTGTCCTCAGCAAACTCAGAACTTAAACAAATTAATTGTCCTTGAAATAATAATATGTAGCTCATACTAAACAATTCAAATGTCTCTTTTTAAAAATTATATTCAATACTGTTCTTTCACTTAACTGTCTTTTTCTTTCTGGAGAGTATTTTAGAAGTCAATTCCCTTACAGGTTCAAACTATGGTTATTTAAGAAGTAGTTTGAAAACATTTGATAAGATATTAATATGATCTCACCAAATGGAGAGTCCATTTACTGTCCTTTCAAGATACTGTATTAACTAATTCTCAACTGGATTTCTTTTCAGCTTCAAAAGAAATAAACCCTGTTCCATCAAAGTCTAAAGAATTCGACTATACCAAGCCAGAAGAACCAGAGAGGAAACTTGGTATAGTGATTTTAAAATATTTCTTCCTACTACTTTACAAGATAACTACTTGAATATGTCTACTGTATTCTTATACAACATGAATATGAAATCCATATTTTTGGGGTTGTTTGTTTTTTTTCCAGTTTCAACTGAGGATGATAATTATCTTCCTAAAGTCTTGACTACGCCAGAATTCCCAATTACCAAACCTGGCAATTACGTGTTCCTATATTTGATAAAATCTTGTACTTTGTGATTGTTAGTTAGATAATGCATTCTTCATGGCTATTTAGAAGCAAGTAGTTTCAAGACTGAAAAAAACTTTGACAGACATGCTTGTTGATCATATGCAGAGCTTTACTACATATAACCACGATATTGGAAGACCCCAATTATAAATATTTCTTTTTTCATGAGGTTTCACACATATATACCCATAACTTTCTCAGAATTCTTTATTCTTCAATTCACAATCCTTTCATAAGATATGATTACTATCAGATAGTCATTTCAATTATGTATCTCCCTGTCTGAATGTAGATTCATTCTACACTGGACTTCCTTTTAGTTTCTTATGAACCATGCCCAATTCCATCAAAATTTAAACAACCTGAATATATAATGCTAGAAGTACCAAATAGGAAATATGATAGCAAGGTTCTACATTTAGGCAAGAAAAACCAAATGTACAGGTATAGTATAGGGGGTACCTTGCTCAATAGTAGTAACTGTGAGAGGGACCTCGGAGTCCTAGTGGACAATCACTTAAATATGAGCCAGCAGTGTGCTGCAGCTGCCAAAAAGGCCAACACAGTGCTAGGCTGCATTAACAGAGGGATAGAATCAAGATCAC